TTTTTTTTGTTTGTTTTGATTCATTCAACTTTTTTTTTCAAAATCTCTGAATTTAATTTTAACCCTAATTTCAATTTTTCATCATCTTATTACTAAGAAAACTTACAACACAATGAAATGAAAGGACTCGTTATGTTTCAAATCATGATTTAAATCATTTTTGTCATAATGTTATCAACATTTATGTATTGTTGAACAAGTCATCATCATCATGATATCCGACCGTTTCAATGTGAATGAAACGACAGCAAAAATGACAACGAAAACAACAAACAAACAAACAAAAAAAGATGTCAAATGAATGAAAATAAAAAAAAAAAAAAAAAACATTATAATATCATTTTGAATATAAATTTATAAAATGATGCAAATGGCATTTTGGTAATGTTCAGTGGACATGCACTACAAGTAGAAGAAGAAGAAGAAGAAAAGGATTCTATACAAACTAACCCGGGAAAATCTAGGTTTCTTTTTTTTTGCCAGATTCTGATTATATATTATTCACTTTTCGTTAAAATGGCAAAATTACATATGAAAAAAAATCCGAATAAAAAAAACCAAAGCAAAATGAAGAATATATATATCCAAATCAAGCCAGAAAAATTTGCTAAAATCATCATGCACGCAAACATGGAAAAAGAAATAAAATGAATGAGTGAATGAATGAAAACGGAAAACATTGTTTACCACTCTAACCATCAATCACACAGTGACCACGTTGACCATTGCCTGAAAAAACACATAAAACTAGACTTGATTTGATTCTTGATTTGATACAATGTAAAAAATCCATTCACCATTACACAGTTTGATATATTATTTCTAGTTTAGTTGTTGATTATTATTGTTTACAACAACGGTTTGTCTCTATTATTTATACTTTTCTTGATATTGATCCTATAGAATTGTAATATTATATCGTATTTTTATTCATCAAATTCACGGTAAATTTATTGAATCACAATTATCAATAATCATCCAAATCATTACTGATTTTCTTAAAATAAACCAATCATCAATGATCTAGCAATTTTTTTTCTCTTGCCTTTTTCGTTTTGATCCGCTTAGAAATGCTGTTTTGTTGTGTTTTTTTTTTCCGCCGAAATAGAAAAAAAAAATAGAAAAGAAAAACGAAGAAAACTTTGTAATTTTTTTTCTGGCTCACAATCGACCAACTTTTTTTTATCGTGAAAAAAAAGTGTCCGAATTTTTTTTCGGCTGATTCTTCGGTTTTTTTTCTGAAACTACAGGAAATAAATCTTGTCAGCCACATCATCATCATCATCATCATCATCGAAGATTTGTGTTCTGATCTGTCATCAGTTTTTTTCTTGTTGTTGCTATCTCTTTTTTTTGCGATTTTATTCGCATCTGTCATGTTCATTGATTCAATGGAAAAAAAATCAAATAAATTTTATCAAAAAAAGACTCAAACTCAACTATGTTTCGGACGTTGTTCAAGTGTGAAAGATCAGAGATTAGATCAATGAATGGAAGGCAAAAATAAAAAGGCAAAACATATCACATCGGTTTCTGAAACATGGAACAACAACAAAACATTGACAAGAAATATAGATAAATTTTTATTTAGACCGGAGCAAAAAAAAAAAAAAAAGTTTTCATTTTTGTTTCACAAACACCGAAAAGAATATTTTCAATTTCATTTTTTCTTCGATCAACGAAAAAAAAACGCTTTTTCTATATTATTTTATTTTCGATTTTTGATTCTGGATATCAATGAAAAAAAAATGAATTCAATATGATTTGAATGGAATGAATGATCCACAAACCAAAGAAACAAATAAAAAAAAAGAAAAAGACATGCACATATACCATCCAATAAAACATGATTGAAGAGACAGATCTCAGTTTTTTTTTCGTAGTAAACAAATAAACGATAGTTTCAAGTAGAACAAAGAATCCACTTGAATCTTATTGGATGTATATAATCCAGAATCTCATTTCTTCATATTCTTGTTTTGTGTTGTTTGTCTGTGGTAAACAAACAAACAAACAAATAACGATACCAATGTATAATATACAAATGTCAATTCTGAATTTGATTTGTTTCCGCCACCACCAAAAAAAAAAAAAAAAAAAGCTCACATTTTTTCGAATATTGACATGGTCAACAGAATTGAGAGTTACGAATAAGAAATTTTTTGTCTTTGTTTGTGTCACATACGTTTTTTTTTCTTGGTTCAATCATCAAACACTGGCTGACTGACTGACTGACTGAGACTGATTATGTAGCTATTTCTGATTCTGGTTTACAAACACACAAACACACACACACACACACACACACAGAGAGACAGATTCCTATGAGGTTTTTGTCATTGTTGAATTCTTAGCTTTGATACAATATATCGATTGATGTATCGATTGTATATTATAGTGTTTTAAATGTTGTTCATGTGATTGTCAAGAATTTCTTATTCTTTTGTAATGATGAGATGATACACTAACGGTTATATTGGCATTTAAAATTATTCAATATCGATGTGATTGAGAATTTGTCCAATGGTAGATCATACAACCAATACGATTACTAAACGGACAAATAGATGTTTCAGATTTTTTTTTTCATTGGCAAAAAAAAAATTGTTTCCATTATTTCAATCTATATTAGCTAGTTATTGTAGTAGTTACAAGTAATATTTGGTTGAATGAACATTCGAGAAGTGTTTCGAAGTGAAAGCATCATCAAACAACAACAACAACTACGAATCAAAGAAAAAAAAATTTGTTCCAAATAAAGAAACAAATTTTTTTTTGTTTGTTTGAAGAGCAAATGAACCCACTCATATACACATACTGCCGATAATAATTCAACGATATAAAAAAACGAATAAAAAAAGAAAAGAAAACAAACATGCAGTGAAAAGTTTGTTTTTTTTTTTCACTCTTATATTATTATTATTAGATCGTTTCACGTTTTCATTTTCGCACTTGACATGAATTCGTGCGTGCCAAAAATATTTCATTTCATTTCATTTCATTTCATTTTTTCTCTCTTTCTTTACCCAAATTCTTAACACGCACACCAATCGGTTCCAAAGAATTTTTCAACATTTCAACATTTCGTCTCGTTGATCTCAAACATCATTCGAGCTGTTTTTATACATTTAAAACGAATTTTTCTTCTTTTACTGTGATTGAATTTACGAATGATTTTTTTTTTAAAATTTTTTCTTTCAATTTAATCTTTCATGTTATCTGATAATAAATTATTTTTGTTTATTTATTTCTGGTTGACAAGAATGGTTATCATCAAACGGTAATCGATTTGTATTATTATTTTTTTTTTCGTTTGATGAAAATTTAAAACCAATCAAACTTGCCAGTTCGATTTGTTCATTTGATTTATCCAATAAATCCTTTTTTTTCATTCATCTGTGTTAACAAAGAATAAAAGTTTATTTCTAGTCTCTATCTCACTCGATGTTTGTGTTCCTATTATAGTACAAAAAAAGAGACCCAAGAGAATTGAAAATAAAACCTAATATATATAACATCTACTGAACTACATTTTGTTTCTTGGGCCATTTTATTTATATTTGAATCCAATTGAAATTCTAATCTTGTCTTTTTTTGTTTTTTCATTTTTAGTTGTTGAAATACCACAAAACACCATTGAACAGTTGAGAAAAGAAGTTTCTATAACAAATAAATAGCATGATCCTATCCGAAATTCTTTTTTTTTGGTGTTCAGTGTGTGTGTTGGTATATACTATAGTATGGTTGGAAAATTTCAGTTTCTTTCGATTAATTTGGTTTGTTTTTTTTTTCTTTTTACTTTGTGGTTTCATCATCACCATCATCATCATCATGGTTTGAAAATGGGCGTCATTCGATTCTTTTTTTTTCGGTTGTTGTTTTTCCCTAAAGTTGCATCATCACCATTGCCAGGGTTTCGAATTACGAATTTTTTTCGCCGTGCTGCTGTTGTCGATTTTCTTATTTTCACATCTTATAGATAACTGTCTGGTTCTGGCATTTTTCATGCCAATGTTATGTTCAGTATGTGTGTGTGTGTGTGTGTGTGAAGTGATTTACAATCATCATTTGTCTTTGAAAATTCCAAAGAAAAAAAAATAACACCAAAACAAAATATCTACGCAAGTTTGGTGGAAAAAAAGTGAATAAATTTCACATGCTTGTGTTGTTGTTCTCCCCAAAGAGTTTCAAGACAAGAAATCTAAGCTATATTTTCATTGTATGAAAAAAAACCACCACCACAAATGAAAATAGACATCGAATAACAGCCAAGAGTCAGAAGATTCAAAACATCCACTGAATGAGAATGAGATCAATTTCTTTCCATTTTGATTTTGGATTTCCGGATTCCGTGTTATACTTGTCTGTAGTTCATTCTATTCACAATGTTTTTGTTACAATTTTTTTTTCTTTATACTTCGTAACAATAATCGGATTTTTTTTTTTTTTTTAGCTACGCATCACCATCAATCCGGTACATTTTGTTGTTGTTGTTGTTGTTGTTTTCATCACTAAAGTGATAAAATCAGTAATATAATACAGTAGTACGTTGTTTCACTGCCATATTGTCATTGTATGTGTTTGTGATCAAGAATCAATAAATTTTTTTTTTGTAGTTATTTTCTTCTCTTTGGTGAACGTTATTTATTTTGTTACAATTATCGTTGATGTTGTTGTCCATTGTTATTGTTATTTTCACTATCTATTTTTTTTTCTCGTCGTCGTCGTTGTCATTTTCTGTCATTATTATTATTATCAGATGGTGATATTTTTGTCTATTTTAACAAAATAAATTTTGTCTATTTCTACCATCCCGTCATCATATGATCATTGATGAAAAAGATTTTTATCTCATCATCAAACTTTACATCAGACACACTATCAATTGATCAAAACCACATATATAAAAGCTTGTCAATATAAATCTTCTATAGAATCGACTTATTTTTCTTTTACGTTGAAAATTTTGTTCATTAAATTTGAAAAAAAAACTATTGTTATCGATTGATTGGAAAGAAAAATTGATTTGATTTTTTTTTTGTTCTTGTTCTTGTTCTTCTGTTTTTTTTAGGCATATTACCATCAACGGCAACAATGACGATGACAACCGAACCCTATCATACTACAGCCAATCTCGGTGAAAATGTCATACTACGATGTGTATTTGATTTTCCTGAAGGTTTTCGTGTACCATATGTGATACAATGGGAAAAGAAAGGTGTTAAAATACCAATATATATTTGGTATGATGGTTATCATCCACATATTGGTGAAGGATATGAAAATCGTGTTAGCCTTAGTGGACGTGCATCGCTCAATTTAACCAATGTTCGTGATACTGATCAAGGATGGTATGAATGTAAAGTATTTTTTCTAAATCGACCACCTGAACCCATTAAAAATGGTACATGGGTTCATCTTGATGTTCTCGGTAAGTTTTTTTTTTGTTTCAATTGAATATTTCCTAGAATTTAGTTTTCGAAAATAATTTTTTTCAATTATTTTGTTTTAAGAAAAAATCCCTTTCCATAAATGATTAACTAGTTTTTTTTCCTATTAAAACAATAGAAATTTTCAATTCATCATTATTTTACAAACACAATCGATTTGATGATGGTTGATCAACGAATAATGAATTGAATTTAGTCCTATTTCTCTGATGAATTTGTTTTGTTTTCTCACATCATTACTACCGTTATTTTTTCTGGGATAAACTTTTTTTTTCATTGAAACAGTTATTAGGATATATAGTTCATCTTTTTCTAGAGTAAAAAAAAAAAAACCAAAAATTCTTATGACTCGATTGATTTTTTTTTCGCCGTTTCAAGAAAAACATTATTAGTAAAGTGAACATTGACTGAGTGTCCTGAACACATTTCAGTCAATCATGAGCTGAATTTTGAATCGTTTTTTGATTGGACACACATACCATACACACACACACACACACACACAATGTGATCAGTTTTTATCCAAAGTTTTTTTTTCATTTTCTATTTTTTCAAATTTCTACACACACACCCACACACATATGGAAAGTTTTTCTTTTGTTGGAAAGAAAGAAGAAATAATGGCTAAATTTTTTTTTTTTTTTGTTAACAAACGATGTATACCTCATATATATATAGAACTAGAAAAATAAAAATCAATATTTGGATTTGCAAAAAGCAAAAAAAAAAAAAAAAAATCGACCTCATACACATTCTTTCGATTCTATCGTTTGATGATTATATTCGATTATCTTTCCGAAGATTTTCAAGCTTCACACATTCAATAATTCTTTGAAATTCATTGAATTTTTTTACATTTTTTTTTCTCATTGTTTTTATCCAATTCATTGATAATAGCGCCTCCACAATTTCGTGTAAAACCACCAGATGTGATATATGTTAAAGTTGGTGAATCGGTTACATTACCATGTGAAGCATATGGTACGCCTACTCCACAAATCACTTGGTATAAGGTATGTTTATTTATTTTTTTATTGATTTATTAATCGAAATCCGAATGTAATTTTTTTTTATTATTATTATAAATCATCGAAAGGATAATAAACCGTTAAAAGCCAACTCAAACATTCAAATCTATAATCATGAGCTTCAAATTGATAATATACAATTATCCGATATTGGTGAATATCGTTGTACTAGTCGTAATCGTGAAGGATCAATAAATGCCATTACAAAAATAATTATTGCCGGACCAGCTGTGATTACATTACCACCACCACGTAATACGACCAAATTGCAAGGTGATCGTGTGGAATTAGTTTGTGAAGCACGTGCATTACCATCGAATGTAACATATCGTTGGTTTCATGATGGCCAAGAAATTGGTCATGTACCGTGGCAAGAATCACGATTTGTTATTAAACCAGGAATGTTGGTTATAAATCCAAGTGTCGCAGAAGATTCTGGCCATTATACATGTGAAGTATCCAATGGTATTGGATCACCAGATACTGCATCTGCTTATCTAAATATTGAATGTAAGTCATATTTTTATATTCATTGCTTATTGAAACACATTTTCTAATGAATTTTGTAATAGTTCCGGCACGTGTTTATTATTCACCAACAATTCAATATCTACCTCTTGGCCTATCCGGTATCATACGATGTTTCATACAAGCATCACCATCATTTCAATTTGTCACGTGGACAAAAGATCGACGACCATTCGATCCGAATGCAACTCCCGATGTATCGACCATTAATAATGGTTCTTTATTATTTCATAAAGTTAGCCTTGAACATCAAGGTATTTATCGTTGTACACCATATAATGTTCATGGTACAGCTGAATCATCACAACCAATGGAGGTTTTGGTTAGAGGTTAGTTTGTGAAAATTGATTTCCTTTTTTTCGTAATAAATATCGATTTCAAACAATAAGAAATCGATATTGAATTGAATTGATTTTCTTATTTTAAACCGATGATGATGATGATAGTGCTAATACATTCAGATTTCGTTTACTTCAAAGATATAGACACCAAGATTAGATTCATGTCTGGCTGGCTGAATGAAAATTGAATTTTTTATTTATTTTTCATTTATTTTAGACATTAAAATTTCTCTTTATTTTCAATTTTAATTTAGTGCAAAATTCTCATGCCTTTAGCACCATTTTTATCATCATTCAATTTTAGTGTTGGAATTTTTTTTCTCTTTACTATTTTAAGGCCCTAGATTGATAGTTGTCATAATAGTGTATACTGGGTAATGTTTTTCATCAAAGATGATGATCATTCAGTTGAAATTTTTCGGGTTTTGCTTTTCACAATTTTTTCCGTTTAATTCCATCCAACAACAACAACAACAACAACCATATGGATGGATTTTTTTTTTCTTCAAACATTCATTTTTCATTCTTTCATTTTGAACATTTTTTTCACACAAAAATAATAATTTTTTTTTTTGCTACTTCAATTCAATTCGACAAAGTCCAAAGGATTTTCTCGAATTTTGAGAAAGAAATGTTGAACAGTTTTTTATGAGTTTTAACATTCATCGAACCACCACTATAGACGAAAAATTCTAGCTGGTCCAAAGTTTTTCATCAATTTCAGCGTGAATAGCATATGACAGCAAATGAAAAAAAAAAAAATAAAACGAAAGATACAGTATTTGTATTTGTTCTTTTCAGATTTAGATTCAGTTGTATCGGTTCCTTCTTTCCTCTCTCTCTCTCTCCCTCTGTTTGTCTGTGAACAATCCTGTAAATCCTTTTGGCCAACATAACATTACATAACATAACCCCTCTTTTCATTCTATAGAATCAAGCTTAGTGATTATATAATCTAGCCATTCATTCATAGTGTAGGGATAGGATTTGGGTGAACAAACTCTAAAAACATTGAAAAATGATGAATAAATGAATGAATAAAATAAATGTTTGGAGAAAGGTGTGGAAAAAAAAATTTAGTGATTTTTTTTTCTGAGTCACATTCAACACACCCACAGATCATCATCATCATCATCATCATCATCAACATTATTATAAACATTGTTTTCATGTTCCTGAAACGGAAACAAATTCTCTCTGTTTAATATATGTTTTTTTCCTTTTATTTATTGTTTTTGTTATTTCAGATCCACCAGTATTTACTCGTAAACCAAAAGATCAATATGTTCGTGCCGTAAATGATGAAGTATCGATTTCATGTGATGGTACCGGTCAGCCAAAACCAAATATTTATTGGCGTAAAGTAAGTAACATAGTTTTTTTGAAATCGGAATTAAAAGTTTCGAATGAAACGAATCAACGATTTAAAACGATTGCTATTCATCAAAAAAAAAATGCAAACACTTTTCACGTCGTTTTCAGTTGTTTTAAAGTAGTTTCCAATGCATGCCTTCATGCATCAACATTGAAAATGGCATGAATCATGATTTAATTCAAATTCTCTAAACATTTTGAATCCTTGCGATTAATATTATTAAATGTCTAGACTTGTTGCCGCATTCATTTACAAAAAAAAAAAAAAAATAGATCCAAGTTATCACTGTTTTTTTTCTAGTTTGATTATTAAAAGTATGAGAAAAAGGAAAAAATTTTCGTCAAGTTTTTCCAACGGAAATTCTTATTTTATTCTTATACATCTCGAAATTCTCAGGGATATTTTAATTTTTATTCTTTTTTCTTGCATTGAAATGAAATTTTTACCAGAATTTTCTTACCATAAGTTGTTTCATTATTATTATTATTATTGTATTTTTTTCGGTTTGTTGAATTTTTTTATTTCATCATTCCCATTGGTTTGATATATATACTATAATAAGTAAAAGTGAAAAGCAAAAAAAACCTCTAATTCTTGTGAGCTAAATATTTCGCTGTTTTTTTATTTAAGTCCCAAAAAACAAGAAGTTTTCAAACTTTTTTCCTGTTTTTTTCAAGTACAACATATTTTCAACCAAACGATATAAAAATGTGTTAATTTTTGTTTTGTTTTTTCACTTGTATACAATAATAATGTGATGACGCTTTCAGCTTATGTATAGTTTTTCCATTGATGAATTGTTGTTGTTGTTGTTTTTTATTTATTTCTTAATGTTCAAATATGGTTCAATTCACATCCAAACAAACAGTAAAAAAACAACAACAACAATCAATCAATGATGATAACCAAGCCGGCATTTGTTTTTTGTTTCTTTGATTCTGTTTGCATGCTTCAATGCTTTTGTGCTGTTTTATTCATTCAGCAAATCAATGTAACTGAACAAATGAAAAAAAAGAAGAAAACATAAATAAAAAAATGATGATGTGTGTGTGTGTGTGTGTGTGTTTATTTGTGTTTGAAAGATTATATAATCATCCAAAGAATATCATAAAAAAATATGAATGTTTAGTGACCAAATTGAATATATATATGGTTCAATGAATCCTAATCTCGATGAAAGAGAAAAGTTTTTTCTTTTCTTTTGGTCGACAACAACTTGTCGCTTCAATTATCAATCATTAACGATCGTATCATTCATTTTTTTTCATTCACAAATGTTCATTCCATTTTATTCCATTATCGTTTTTTTTTCTTTGATTTATATATAGGCAGATGGTACAAAATTATCACCACGTGAACGTACTACCATTCGATCTGGTAATATAACGATAAAATTATTGAAAAAAGAAGATCATGGCCGATATGAATGTGTATTGGAGAATGAGATTGTGGCCATCAGTGTACCTACGTTGCTTATCATCAATAGTAAGTATTATCAATAGATGAATTTCATTGATTGAATCTTTTATCAATTCTTTTTGTTTTTTTTTTTTTTTTGTAGACACAACACCACATACACCAACAAATGTATCAGTGAATACAAGTTATTTTGCTGCCACCATACAATGGGAACCAAATTATAATGGTGGCTATGAACAAACATTTCATCTTAGGTATGTATTATTTTTTTTTTGATAAATTTTCTGCAAAATTTTAAATGATTTCTTTTTTTTCCCATTGAATTATTATCGGTTTGTTTTTAATAATAATCAATGAAAAAAAAATATCCGACAATCTAACAATAAAAAAATCAATATTAACTGATCGGCTTTTCTTCAAAATTCATTCTTTTAAATGTCTTCCTGGTAAAATCATTCATATCATCATCATCAATTTTTATAGTTATCGTATTTCTGATCAAGGCGATGCCGAATGGAAAACGATACGTGTACCACCGCCGGAGACCACCAACACATTCACTCTATATAATCTACAATCAGATAATGAATATGAATTTCAAGTTTATGCAACAAATCGTCTTGGAGCTGGACAGCCATCACCAATTATTAGAGCATCTACTAAACGTATGTATCATTAAAAAAATGTTGTTGCTAATAATAATTGTTACATTGTCATCTCATCATCATCATCATAAAACATTGAACATAAAAATATTCATCAAATCTTTTCTGACATTTTCTTTGATGATTTTAATCTATGAATTATCCGAAAAAAAATCAGCTTGGAGCTTTGGAGAAAAAATCTATCCAACCGATGCATCCGGAGCAACATATATACCGACTGTTCAAAAACCTTCAGGTAAGCTCAATAATAATAATATAATAATTAATGTTTATTTATCTTGATTTATGAAAAATTTCAAAGTTAAAATGTCATATGATGATGATGATGATGATTTGATTGTGTCCACCTTGACAAACAAACGAAAACCTGAATGAAATTTTCTTTTCTTTTCTTTGGTATTTTTCATACTGAGATGAGAGAATCACATGTTTGTTTGTTTGTCATAAAATTCATCATCTCGATGAATTAATTTTTTCTTTTTTTTTCCAAGAAAAAAAAATCATATTTTGATGGAAACTCAGTAATTCAATTCCATTCTGGTCACATTCATCATTCACTCTCATTGCCATTATTGAAATAATTTTTTTTTTCGGTCAATGATTTTCACGTTTTTCGATTATCGACTAAACAAACAAACGAAACAACAACAACAACAATCAAATGAAAATAATTTAAAATTCCATTTTTTTTTCTTCACCAAATTTGCTTGGTCAAAAAAAATGGTGAAAATTTTCTCCCGAATGTCTGTCACCAATTTAATGTGAACTCATAAAAAAAGAATGTTTCAGAAAAAGTCATCATCATCATCAATGGGCGGATTGCCATTAAAAAAAAAATACAGCGAAAAAAAAACGACCGAACGGAGAAAGAATTTTAATTTAAAAAAAAAAATTTCATCGTCCTTGGTCTTTCATATATCGTTTCGTTTCATTAGGTTATTTTATTTGTTTTCATTCTGGTCGATGGCCTGAAATTCGTTTCGTTTTTTTTTTTCATTTTCGGCATCATTTTTTTTCGTTTTCGTTTCTGGCAGTGTTTGTTTTTGGCCGCTTTTTTTCCATTTGTACCAATGAAAAATGAAATAAGATGCACGCGAAATTTTTTTTTTTTTTACAGAAAATGCTCCAAATATTTGTGGCATTGATTGAGATGATTATGTGTGAAAAATATAGGCCAGAAAAAAAGTCAATTTTTCTTTTTTTTTCTTCGGAATCTGAGCACAAAAAAAAACGGAAATTTTCTAGACACACACACACACACACATTTATATCTGTTTATTTCTTTGAATGATTGTCAATGATCATCATCATCATCTTGTTTATCGTTTAGAAATGAAAAAATACATTTCAATGATTAGGGATTTTCTATATTTTTTTTTCACTTGTAAATATCAATTCAATTTCACCCGGTGTGAATTTAATTTTGCACTATAGTTTTTTTCTCACACACACACACACACATGCAGACATACAAAATGATATTATTATGGGAAAAACATGTTTTTACGTTTGCAAAAAAAAAAAATTTTATTTCGTGAGTATATCTGTAACTTGAAAAATTATTATATAGTTAGAAAAAATATAATACAGATAAATACATACCCACTGTATTTGATATAATCAATCATTTTTTTTTTTTTTTTTTTTTTTTTTTGTTAGGCGAGAAAATAAAAATCGAAAATATATATTTTTTTTCACTAAAAAAAAAAAAAAAAAAATAACCATGGATTTTTCTTATCCTTAGAATTCCTTTCCCGTGAAACTTTTTCGGGATTGCTTTCTATCTCTCTCTCACACACACAAAAATCACCATCATCAACTTCATTGAGAATGAATTGTTGTCTTGTCCTTGTGTTGTTCATGTATATGTGTCTCTGCGACTACATATATTACATATATATATTTTATTATTATTGAAATTGAAATTGAAATTGCTGATGAATCTATGCGCCGGGCGAATTGAGAATATTGTGAAAATACACGGAAATTTTTTTTTTGTTCACATTTCCATTTCCTCCGGTTGTGTGTTGTTGGTTTTTTATGATTTTGGAACATCGAAAAATGGTGTAGTCATGTTCAATGTGTGTATATATGTTTTTCTGTATATGCATTTTTCATTGATCCATTCATCATTCCATTTGGAATTTCGTTTCGATTTTTTTATGCATAAATTTTTTTTATCGCTTTGCCCGACCGACCATTTTGTATTATTATTCGGTTATTACTCTGGGTAAATATTATTATTCACAACATTTGATTTTTTTTTCCATTCTTTTCTTTTTTTTCGATTCATTATTACGCTGAATATTCGACATAACAAAAAAAAAAAAAACGATGAAATTTTTTTTTCTTCGGAATTTTGATTTAATTTTGATTTGATTTCATTTTTTTTTTGAACTCTTTCATTGGTTATGAAATGAAAAAAAAATATTCTTCATTCACAATCAAATTCTACATATGTGTGTGCTATGTTTTGATGATGATGATGATGATGATGATGTCTGAAAAACGATCCAGACAAACAAAGAGACGATTAATGATGATATGATGTTAATGATGCTAGTTGATGTTTAAAGAAAAACACTGAAAATGTGGAGTACAAATACAACAAAAAAAAACATGAATCAGTTGAATTCAGTCTAACAACGAAAATTATAGATCAAAAGCCAAAAAAAAACCGATTCGTTCCTAAATCTCGAATAGAATATTATCATCATTTTTTTTTAATGCAAACATCTAGTTTTGTTACAAGAAACAAAAAAAAAAATTGATGACAAATCATCATTCATCATCAATCGAAGAACCAGTGATGAAAAACAGTCATTCACTTTATTCACAATGGCGTTTCACAAATCAATGAATAATGATGACAAATTTATTTTGTTGTTTTTTCAACGAAACAAAAAAAAAAATTTCTATATTCAAAAATCAATGTTTTTGATGATAAGTAGAAAAAAAATCGGTTTTTCCCGTTGTTTGTATGTTTCTGGTTTTTTTTCTGACTGTCAAGTGTTTTCTTCCCGGGATTTCCATTTCTGTTAAAGATGGATTTTTTTTCCCGCTGATGTTGTTGATGATGATGATGATGATGATGATGATGAATGCAAAAGTTGGAATTCCAAATTCCGTGGCTTTAATTTTTATTTTTTATTTTTTTTAGAATTTTTAAAAATCCATTTCGGAAACCCTATTTTCCCTTTGATTATTTTGTTTGAAAATGAAAATAAAAGTGAAATGAAATTGAAATTGGAATTCAATTTTTTTTTGCTTAACATTGGTTCAAAAATTTTTCTCATTTCTGATGGCACATTTTTCATTCCCCGAATAAATATATCCGAATGATCATTAATTATCATTTGAATTTGTCGTCGATGATACAACGATGAAATGATTTTCTTTTTCGGGTTCGTTTTTTTTTTTTTTTTTCTGGGCCGGTCAGACGATTAATAATAAGCTTGAAATAAATTGGGTGGTATAACGAAAACGAAAGGAAAAAAATTCTTAGAAATTTAGGTTTCCGAATTCCGCCCACCCATTTTCTGGTCGATAATACCAATTTTTCATCTGATCGAAAATGAAGAAAAACAAACAAAAAAAAAACTCAGCAAGAATCCTTTTCATAGTCGACATTAGTTTATTCTTTTTTTTTTTTCGTGTATTGAGAATCGAATTTTTTTTTTTATTTTGCTTTACCCGCGAATCATCATCATCACACAGTCACGTGGCATTTATTCATTTGAGAATTTTTGGAATTTTTTTTATGTATGAAACGATGAATTAGATAAACTATATTATCAACTAAATCAACATTGATCGATTGCAAACTAGAATTGTAAAAAGAGAAAAAAAATGTTCCCATAAGATTTGCTTGAATTTTTTCTATTTTTATTTCACTCATTTCACCATTCATTCATTCATTCATTCATCATTCAAACATTCAGATTTTTGTTGTTCAAAGAGTTTTAAAAGTTTTTCACACTTTTTTTCCAAAAACTACCTATAATTTATTCATTCATATACTTATTCTATTATGATAATTTTCATTTAAATTTCTTTTTTTTCAAAAGAAAAATATTCTCTGTATTTATTATCTGTTTGTTTGTTTATTCAATTGAAACTTGAAATAATTTCAATAATGATGATGATTCGATGATACTAGAAATCATCATTGATGATAAATAAAAACAACCATAATAATCCGATTACCAATCATTTTGATGGATTAACTTGTTTTTGTTTGAATTCTTTTCTTACTTTCTTTCTTTTTGTTTTGGATTCATTTTATTATACTTTGTTAATTCTGTCCAATATATGATTCTAATCATAATCATAATATAATATAAAGGTTTTAATCCTCATGTTTGTGTGTGTGTGTGTGTGTGTGTGTGTGGCATATTTTTCGATAAATACTGAAAACTTTTTCAATAACAAATGCTTTTGACTTCTGAGAAAAAGTCGTTTTTAGTTTCGATGAAATTTTAAACTTTCTCTCTCTCTCTCTCTCTCTCATACATACACACACACACACACACACACACAACAACCTTTCTCTTATTTCCAATTTAATTTGAATATAATTTGAATTAGTTTCAAATAATGATAATAACTCTGTTTTTACTGTATTTTGCATATCTAAACCATAATAATAATTTTAGTGATATTGAAATGTATATATACGCATAATTAATTAATTTAAAAATAAGTTTTTTTTTGTTGAATTCATTGATATGACTGAATAAATGGATGGATGAATGAATGAATGATGAAAGTTTTTTTGTTCATTTCATATATTCACATATGATTCGCTTCTGAAATTTTGAATAATTTATATTATTGTTATCATAATAATCATATATATAATAACAATAATAATGTATATATGTATTATCAATTTCGGTATTCTGAATTTGAGCAAAATTCTCATTCCCTTCCTCCCCCCATCACTCCACTATACATTCATCTCATTCAATTCTTGGATTTTACTTTTCCAAATTTTCAAATTCAAATGATGATTCTTTTTTTTTGAAAAGTTTCTTCCTTATTGTTGAATGACTATTACAATAAACTAAACGAAACGTATAAAAAGATTTACAAGGGCAATGGCAAAAAGTCTATTATTTTATATATTTTATTCTAATTCTGTTTTGTTGTTGGTATAATAATTCATTATATATTTCAAACACTTACATTTACTATTGAATTTCAATCAAAAATATTAACACTCGTCATCGTCATCGTTATTATTGCAAAAATCTATGATTTGAATTAATCAATTTCACATTCATATGTTTTCTCTATTTTTTTTTATTGAATTTGAAATGAATACATTTTTTTTCTTTACAACAAAAAAAAGGACCAAAACCGGATGCACCAAGGAATCTAACATTTCAACGTATGGCACAAGGATGGGTATTATCATGGCATCCACCATTAAATATAACCGTTGCCGTTGCCTATTATCGTGTTGAATATCGTCGTGATGATGATTCATGGATGTATACCGATCCTATTCCTTATGATACAGCATATCTTTGTAAGTTTCAATCACCATTCACATTTTCAATATTTCTTTTCAATTTCATTTCAAACAATATGAAATTCTATTCAATTTTTTTTTCTTTATTCTTATTCTTATTCCCATTATTATTATTATAGTTGAAAAACTTGAATCAAATAGCCATTATATATTCCGTGTTTGGGCCTATTCAATACTTGGTGTTGGTGAAGTTAGCCCAATGATTGAAGTGAATATTGAAGATTATGATCACAATGATTCACAGTTACATTTTCGTGCAATGATTGCCAGTATAATCGGTGGTTTTATATTCTTTTCAATGTCCATTGTGTTAATATTATGTATGGTTAAAGTTTGTAATAAAAAAAAGCGAAGAAAAATTGAAAAATGTATGTAAAAAAAAAGAAAACAAATAATTCAAAATGATTTTGTCATTGAATGTATATTTTTCTTTATAGCCTATGTAATGGTTACATGTCCAGTGAATGGTAATGCCTGTTATAATGATAATTCAATGCCTTCCAAACAACAGTAAGTACTTTTGGATACATTTCACATCAATTCACATTCGCTTTCTTTTTATCTTTTCTCTCTTTCTCTCTCTCTCTCTCTGTCTGTCTAACTTTCTGTCTAAAATTAATATCAAAGATTTGAAATGTTTGATCCAAATTCACAAGGTATTTTTGTGTGTCGAACATGATTTCCATTTCATTTTTGTCCTTTTTGCATATCGATAACAATGCTTATCTTATTATTTTTTTTTAATAGCTACATCTGATTTTATGATCAATCTATCTATGCCAATCGGTTCTATGGGTTAGCTTTTTTCTTTTTTTTTCTCTCTATCTCCAGTTTATTCTTGCCCCCCCCAAAAAAAACACACACTAATTTTTTGCATGATTTTTGAATATAGAAAAATATTTGCATTACCCGTACCAAAATTCGGTTATGTTTTTTTTTTGTTTCGTTTTGTTTTGTTTTATTTTGTTTTCCATTCAACCACACAAACCTTTCTTCCTTTCGCACTTTTGCACTTATTTTTGTAGTAATAATATTTATAGTAAAAACATATTGATCGATTATATTCATCGTTTAAATATATGGCCATTGTCAAACAAAACAAAAAACAAAAATAGATATATCCCGTGTAGCGACAGCATCATTGGACAACAGTACTACAACGACAAATACTACAGGGACTACTGGCAGCGATCAGCCATTAATACCAACAATACATCATCAACAACAACAGCAATCATCAATAAACAGCAACAGCAACAGCAGCAACAACAACAACAACAATCACGAACATTCGATGGCCATTGCACCGGTAATACCACCATTACCGACGAGTATGATACACATGGCCGACAATCATCATCAACAACAACAAACCCCCACATGGCCAAATGTTTTAATACACAACAACAACAATCGTTATCCATCAATGGTTGGCATCGGTCCAATGCAATCCAATCATCATCATCAAACAACCATGATACGATCACCATACAGCCACATCCACAATCACCATCATCATTATCATATAGAACCAGGATCAATAACACCAACACCATCACCAACATACACATCCCATACGGCAACAACGACAGAAAGTTCATCAACGACAACAGCAATGATGATGATGACGGGAACAACAACATTACCGATCACGTCGACAATCATGGACAACAACAATATTGGCATATCGATCGACCAAACAACCGCAACAACAACGCTGGCAACACCTTTATCGCCACGTATGATGACCAACACCACCACCACCACCAACACAGCTACACCAATCACACATCGATTAAGCATCAACAACAACAATCATATACATTATGTAAACCAACATTTCAATCACGATCATTATCCGTCCCAAGACGACGGAATCCTATGATGAATATGGAACATGTTTCAATGATGATGATGATAGATAAACAGCAACAACGACCATCAACAATGATTGATTCGAATGATCAACAAAATGATCGTTCAGCATCATCATTATTATTATTTCAACAACAACCACCATCAATACGTGGTTCATTCCGTAGTGATGGTAGTGGTCAAAGTCAAACATGTCGACCATTTTCACAGCAATCATTTAATTGGATCGAAAATCATAATAGTACCAATGTCGATCATCATAATATAATGACTTCAGATTATTTATTTAAACCTGTTCATCGTCATCATCATCTAAATCATTCAGATCATCATTCAGATTCGATATCGATGATATCGAATAGTATTGTTGGTAGTGGTCACCATCAACAACAACAACATCATCACCATCATCATTATTATTATCATCCACATCCATATAATACACATCATTGCCATCAACAACAACAGCCAATCAATAGTATTTATCAACCAGGTGATAATCGTTTTCATCATCATCGTCATCAATCACCGAAAGAATTTGAAATGATGATTAAAGATGAAACTATTATTCCTCCGATCGATTCGGAACATCTTCGAGAATTGCCGGCATTGAAACCGATTTATAATTATCCAAATAATCAACCATTTCATCGTGCAACTTCATCTGACAATAATCTGTTCAGGGCAACTGTTCCGATAATGCAACGAAATTGGATTCTATCAAGACGACCGAAATTGGAACCAGTACCAGAAGCTATTTATGATTATTCAACAGTTCAACCATCACAACCTCCACTTAAACGTAAGTTCTAGAATTTCGAACCATTTCATTAATAATTTACATTCATTTGCATTAACATAACAGTGCCACCAAGATCACCACGAACGATGACAAAATATCAAAGTCCATATCAGAATCTACCTATTCCACGGCATTTACTTACGGAAACGCTTGGACCAAAACCAAATTCTCGTAATAATAAACAAAAAACAACGGATAAAACTGAAAACAGCAGCCAAACATCATCATCATCAGACGGACAAAAATCATCAACAACTGGCTATACTCGAGATAAATTACTTGGTGCAGTAGAAAAAGTTCGTAGTGGACAATATCTACTTATTAATCGTGATTCACCATATAGACATTCATTTGAAGGTTTGAATTATCATCAATATGTTTTTGCAACTTTAACTTTAGTCCTTTTTCCCGCTATAGGAGGATCGCTTACGAAAACATATCATCCATCATCTAGTCAACAAATAAACAATCATAATCAACCAGTTCCTCACAATCGAACAATACCTCATCATAATAACGTAATAATGGAACAACCACCTCGACCACCACCTCGTAAAAATCGGCAAATTGTTGATCATTCCAATCAACAATCTACTATGGCACAATATGATTCACCTGGACAAAGTTCAGGTATATCGGCTGAAGAAGAACATCGTATTAATCAATTTGACGAACATTTTCAACATCATCAATCGATGGAAGAAAATATATCAGCAGATGAAAATTATGAATTTGATCATAAAGAATTGAAATCCGCTGGCCATTATCATCATCATCATCAAAGAACTAGATCAAATCCGGTTGCCATACCAACTTTACCACCAACGAGACAATTACAATCATTAACATCACAATATTATTCATATCGTGCACCGAAAAATATGTCCATTACAGATATTGAACGAAGATGTCTCGCGTTACGGCAAGAATTTCTTCATTTTCGTCAACGACAAGAGCAATTAAAACAACAACATTTACAATCCATAGCACGAAATGAGCATAACATTGTGAAACCTAGGTATTATCGTCCGATTTCATCTATTGATAATTGTTCAGCTACCATCATCAATTATGATGATGAACTAAACATAACTCCATCATCATCATCGGATGGATTTGAAAGTCTTTGCTAAAAAACATATCACATAAAACTAAACAATCCACCGAGAACGAGAAAAAAAAGAATCATTATTATCAAGTTGTTTTTCAATATTTATTTACCATAACATTTTCTTTGTTATTATTTATTTTATTTGTTGTTTTTCAAGAAAAAAAAATCTGTTCCTATATTAAAAAAGGATGAAAACGAAAAGAATTTTTTTTTTTTTCTACAAAAATCAATTATCATCATCATCATCATTATTGTTGTTGTTGTTGTTGTTGTTTGTCATCTTTTTTCTTCGTTGATCTCAATATCTATCACAATTTTATGGTGATGATAATCAATGTTCTTAAATCTTAAATAGATATATGTAAAAAAAAAATTTCTATGTAAATATTGAATAATATGTATTTTTTTTCCTTGTTCATTGTATATTTTAAAGAACAATTGTTATTTGTACATTATTATCTATTGAATATTGATGAATAAAATATAAATATATACAAACATTAAATCATTTAATAATAATAATAATAATTATGATTATGATTTCATTTCAGGTATTTTGTTTGTAACTTGAATTTTCCGTAAGTAAAGTGCCGTATGTAAAATCACAATCAATCAAATTTCATAGATAATCGTATTATTTTCAGAAATTCTTCATTCATTTCATTACTGCTACTTTCTGATGATGATTTGGCCATTTTAAGCATATGATTTATAAATAGATGATCATAAAGCTTGGTGATTTTAAAATGTAGATCATTGATTTTAATACCATCTTCATTGTTTTCAGGAATGAAAATTTTCAATGAAATCATGAATAATCGGACCATTAGTGATAGGATTCGTCTGATCAGCCAACATATGTGAGAAAAAAATGTGTAAGACACATACATCAATCAACAAATAATATACCTTTGTTGTTGTTGATGATGATAATGATGAAATGTTTCAAAAATATTATCATACAATTGTTCCATGATCAATTTATATGACAATATAAACCTATCACAATGACAATATCGAATATTACTATCACCATCACTAATGTTATCATTTTTCGGGAATGTCATTGTTAAATATTCGGCTGCTAAGAAGATTATTCTTGATCGATTTTTTGTCATTTGAAATTGTTGTCGTTGTTGTTGTTGTTGATGCAGCAAATTAGAATTTGAATTTTTTCCAACAAATAGAAAATTGCCGATAGTTTCCACTATGTCATCATTGTTATTATCACCGGTATTTTCGCCGTAATGTTGACAATAATGTAGATAAAAAAATTTCCATAACATACATTGTTGATTGTTGTAAAGTTGTTCATCATTGATTTTTGAAAAACCGCCTTCGGTAAAGTTTTTTCCATCAATTTGTTTACAATATAAACATTTACCAAATTGAATACCAGTAGGATAAGTTTGCGGTAAATCATTGTCATCATCATCATTTCCAATGGATCCATTTAACAGAGAATTACCGCTTTGTTGTTGTTGTTCCTCCTGTTTCATGCATGCATGACATTGACAATGAAAATGATAACGTTTCCAAAGATATTTTCGTCGTTCATCAAAATTATAAGCATTCGCATATGTGCCATAGGAAATGTTGATTTCAGTATCTGGTTTAATTGTACTATAAATAATGAATTTAACAAAAAAAATAATACATGCAGAAAAAAGTATGAATGACATAAATAAATGAATTGATCAATGATCAATCACATACCTGGATGTAGTGATTGTAATATAGCCACCATCATCAATATCCCAATAGGCATTTGGATCACAACTATGATTGATCATTGCAGTCCATAAGCCTAAACAATTGCCAATTATTTGCATTTTTTCTATCATTGGCTTTGATTGATTATTAACCATTAAATGGCCAGAATCATCATCATTATTATTATTATTGTTCAATGAAGTGACAAAAACATTTTCATCATCATCATCATTGGCCAGATCTGAACACCAACCGAATAAATTGAATGAAAATTTTTTCATCAAATCAAATGCTTTGTCAACAATGGCGATAATAATGTCATCATCATTGTCATCAAAAGTAATAATATAATCGTCGATACCATTTTCTTTTGATTGATTTTTTGCAATAGTTTCATTATTATTATTAGTTCCATCATTGTGTAGTTGTTGGTGGTGGTAGTGGCCATCATCATTATTGTCATTATCGGTAGCAAATTTATTCGGCCATTTGATTTTATTGTCAAAAACTATGAAAGAAAATAAAGAAACATTAGAACGAAGTAACAACAACAACAAAAAAAAATCAAAAATAAACTAAGAAAGCATGGGTGTGTGTATGTGTAGGTGTTAGTATATGTGTGGTGTATGATGATGTTCCTTCCATTTTTTTTTCATTCATAAAACACCCATATCTTTTTGTTGTTGTTATTGCCAAGAAGAAATAATAATATCAACAGCAAAAAACTTCAAACTTAAAACAAAACACAAGGGGATTCAATTTTCTTTTCAATTATTTTGATTTTTCCTCAACATTCACAATTCTGATTTAATTTTCATTTCATCCTACTATGTGTGTGTGTGTGTGAGTATATATTCCAGGAACATTTGTGTGTTCAAGTTATATAATGAACACCATCATATAACAAAAATGAATGAATCAAAGGAAACTCTCTATCTAGTATAGACTCTAACTTATAACTTTTGTATGACAAACAATTTTTTTCAATAGAATCTTCTTCTTTTTGTTTTTGTTTTTGTTGTTGTTGTTGTTGTTGGTGTTGATATTTTTGCTGTTTATCATCATCATCGCCTTTAACAACATGGTCCATGTTTTCGTTTTGTCTTATTTTGACTACCATTGTTGTTGTTGGTGCTGAAATTTTGTACTTTTTTTCATCAAATTGTCGATTTCGTTCATCATCATCATTGCTAATATTAATAGTGGTCATTATAATTATTTTCAATGCCCATAACAATAGCATTAATGTTGAATCAAATTTATCATCATCATCATAATCGATGTTGTCGTTGTTTTTGTTTTTGAATGTCGTCGTTGTTGTCGCCACCGTTCCAAATGAATTCATTTCAGAATTCCATTTCTGTTCCTGGTTGTTGTTGTTGTTGTTGCTGTCTGGTAAACGAAATGAATCGATTAATGATAAAAGTTTCCAATAATAATTCAATGAATTCGTTTCATTTTCCTCATCATCAACATCTAGGTCTTGTTCGGTGGTTGTTATCGTCGAATCGTAATGTTTTTGTTCATTGTATTGTCGGTACCAATTGGTCGGTCCTCCTTTTTTCGATTTTTCATTATTTTTGTCGATTCCTTGGTCGTCATTATCAAAGTCATCTTCATATTTCAATCGAAATTGATTCATTTGTTCAATCAAACAATGATTGTAATATGGTTTTTGTTGTTTGTGTTTCGATGGTTTGTGTTCACTTGATTTTTCTTCTTGATAACTCTGATTACTATTATTTGTACCTGCATTGAAAATGGAATCATAACGATGTACAATTTTTTTCGATAATTCATTATCATTATCATCATTGTGGCAACGCTGTTGTTTAATGGACCATTTGATAAAATTTCTATATCCACCAATCAATCGTATCATACGAAATAAATGCCAGCCATAATGATTTGATTGTAATATTGCTATTAGATGACATTCATATCGATGTATACCTTGATGTGTATTGGCTTTTTGTTCACATTTTATACTACAAAATCTAATTTGACGACATTGGCGACAAGGAATGAATATAATGGTCGACAACTGGCGATAACAATGAAAACAATAACGGTGGTAATGATTTGAATCGAGAATAATTGAAATGGCACGTTCGCGAATAATGTGTGTACCATACGGGATATTTTTCGCTTCTGATAATGATTTCAAATAACGACCTTTATGATTATCATAAAAGATTGAACAATTTTCATCAAATTCAAATCGAAATCCAAGATGAAAATTCCGGTTTTTTGCGATTAAATCGATTTCATGTTGTCGACAAAGTTTATTGAAAAAATCACGGCATTCACTCAATAGTTCATCGTTGAATAAAGAGGATGAATTTTCAAGAATTTTGATAGCTTGATTGATTGATTGTAAAGCTAATCGTTGTTGTTGTTGTTGTTGTTGTCCATTTATTCGGTTTCCATTCGATTGGAATGTAAACAATTTAGCCATTGAATAATAAATTTGTGCTTTCAATGTATCATCCGTACATTCTAGCAATGCCTTTTTGTGGGTAGAATTTTCAAATAAAAAAAATCAAAGAATGTTATATTTAAATTGATTTTCCAATAATCCTATCTATTATATTACCTTATGATAATATTTTAAACATTTACGATATGATGATGGCCGATAATAGAATAATTGATTGGCTAATTGTAAATATCGACGACATTGATTCGGATTTTTATTTGCTATACATTTTGATCGACGATAATCACGATGTATTAATTGAATTAATTGCCTTAAATTGATTATATTGGTGAAAATGTATTTCAGCTTCGTTCGTATTGTTCGACATTCATATCGTAGTTGATGGCCATAATTATGGATAATTTGTTTGAATAGACGATCACATTCCATGTTTCATATATGATTGGATTGATTTTTCATTTTCAAATCAATATATAAATTAACAACTAAAGTGAATTGTTTGAAAATGAATGAATTGATCGAATTCTGAAAAAACGAAGGAAAATCAAAGTTTATATCGCCATCTATAGTGAAAAAATGGTAAAATGAAATCCAGAAAATGCCATTTCCAAAAAATCAAACTACTGAAAACAAAATCCATACCATTGCTTGGCATTTTTGATTGATGCTGTAATGTAACGTTTCAGATGGCTAAATTAATCCGTTATTGATTTTTGACATGATCATTAAAAAAAATCGTCTGATTCAATCTGATTGATAAAAATGATTATTTTTTTTCATTGACGTCAATGGTCTCGTGTTGGAATACAATGGTTGAACAACATCAATTAATCATCATCAATTTAGTTCGATCTAATCATGCATGTGGTCGAAGATGATATACAAATTGCATGACAAGTAAGAATTTCGAATGAATGAACATGATTGTGTCTTTAAGATGTGTTTTTGTTTATTATTATTATTTCAGTCAAGCGAAGCCAATTAAGAACCGTATGAATGACAAATATGCAATGTCTAATATGAGTAGTGTTGCTTGCCGCTGAGCTGATTGCTGGCTTCCAAAAGTGGCGATTATCTAATCGACGATCATCATCATCATTATCATAAACAATAACAACACAACATCTTAAGCCCTAGTTGCACGTATTGATTATGCATAAGCCATGTTTAAACAATCTTCTATACAACCGATCGATACGTCGAGCATCATGTCGAACAACAAACAAATGATGAGTGGATAATAAAGCGACCGACACTGGTTTTGTTTGCTAAACAATTTTTTCCTCAATTATATCAAACAACGATGAGCTCGTTTGTCATTTTTGATCCGAAAAACAATCTCATCTTTAGCCATTGTGATTCAAGATTTCGACAAATCCTGCTTCAATTCTCCTATATCAATAACCAGAGCGACATAGTTTATGACCCTGAATCCGGTGCTGATGATGGTGATGATAACGAAGACGATGATGAGGATGGTCACAATGTCCATAATTGGCTTTCCGTTTATCTAACTCCGTACGTTTCCTTGTTTCGTGAATGCAATGGCCATAATGATGATGATGATGATGATATATAGTGATTACCGTCGAAACCATTTCGACCAGATACCTGATACTTTGCTCGTTCAAAAGAATGTAAATGGAAAAGCTTAGTTATCAACCGAAATGATGATTGGAAATTATTACATTCGCTTTATTCGATTTGCTTTTCGATTTTTTCACTTTCTCATTTTTTTTTCTCTCTCTCCTTGCATCCCATCCTCATCTATCATGTTAGTATCAGGAGTTTATATTTATACATCTAATCTGTCAACACGATCATCAAACAACAACAATGAATGCAGACCATAACGATGATCATGATGATGAGCAAACATATAACACTCTCATCTTACAGTATCAATTCAAAGTGAATGCATTTTGTGCAGCCACCATATTTATGGCCGGTAATGGTATTTATTTGGTGGCTAAAAATCAATCCATTCAACGAACATTATTGGCCATTTTGGATCAATGGAATGAACATTCGTCGAAAATTCCATTGATGATCGAGGTAGGTGATTTGCTTGTTCATGACATCATTGTTAACTTTTCATTTTTTCACTGTAGAGCATTGAAAAACTATACGTAGGCTATCACATTAATCAACTTTGTCAACAATTGGCACATAAATTGGAACGAATTCTTAAACTCGACACCAATGAACAGCATAAGGAAATGTTTTCATTTTGTTTCATCCTGTATCGAGATAAATTAGTCTATAAATATGAAAGGTAAGTGTTATTCATTTGCCTAATTTCTCATGAATATTATAATTGTTTCTTGCCTTTCCATCCCCCAAAATAGCAGCACCAGGGTTCGATTAAAACCGAGTGATTTATGCATGATAATGTTGCTTGCTTGTGATATACAAAACGATTCTAATCGAATACATACAATGGAATCACAGCGTCTAATATTTCTGCAATCATCATCATCATACATACCTATTCCACATGTGTACAGAAAAATTGTGATCAACAAAGATCTGTACGTGATCTGTTTGAGCGAACTTTCTTCATTGTTGCTCATTTCCTTGCCTTCTTTAATCAATTCTGTGACCGGATACCGTACGACCGTTACCGAATGGCCACACAATTCGAAACGTTCCATTGATTATCTAATCAAATGTATACGTAGTATGGACCAATATATGTGCAGAAACTTTGATGAAACGCTTCCACGACGACAGCATCTGTTCAATATGGATTCATTGGAGAATCTAAATCGCTTGGCCAAAAAAGCGCATAGCCGTCGATCTAGTCAAACTGATCCGTTGATTCGTGAACAAACAGATCGAATATTCTCGGTATTGATGGACAATCTTCATCAAACATATGAAAAAGTATTCAAAACACTACATGGCCAGATTGATGATTCCAATCAATTGGTTGTAGACCGCAAACATCAACTAAGTCAAATCATTTCGAATCAAATTGATCAAATGGTTAATCTAGAAAGCTGTCTAGACTTTATCCGACTAAAATATTCCAGTAATGTGACTTTATTGAATAACCTACAAGGTTTACAAGTGTATAACAATCTATTGGCTTTCATACTGGTCGATCGGATAGAAAATCACTTCCTTCAAGACTATCGTCGCGTCATCCAGGCTGATATTCAAATACTTTATAGCCATCTATTACAAGGTGCCTATTGTCGAGCAATACAACAGAATCAAAATATAGTATTCTGGCGGCATCTTCAATTTCATTTTGTCTATGCTTGTTGGTCAGATCGAACACGATCATCCATTCACGAGGTAAGTTCAAGTGTCGGTTCATCAATTTGAGTATATGAATTATTTTGATTTCAATTTTAGAATTCACGAGAAACCGTTAATACTTCTACTATTAAAATGGTCGAAAATACAGCCAAATATCATCAAATGGATCGATAATAAATCAAGAATCTAATAGTACAAGTAAAAAACTCATTGTTCATTGGCAAAACAAGTCAATTAATGAATGGTTACAGCATGGACATGTCACGAAAGAATTTTTCGCCATTTTAGATGGTCAATGTAACCAATTCAGTGATAATACTTCAGCCAATGAATGGCAGAATTTTCTATTTAACATTGTCACGAAAATTGAGAATTATATTCAATGATGATAAAAAGTTTCATATTTAATGTAAATATATCAATTGGAAGCAAAAAAAAATCGACAGACAAACAAGCAAAAAAATGAAGAAAAGCAATAAATAATAAGTCGTAACAGATTCTATGCTGCTGTTGATCCCAAGTTATAGCCATTTGTTGCTATCAATCAATTGTCTAACAGTTCAACGTAATTGGCTGGAAATAGTCCATAGGCACCGTTTGGAGCTAACCCTTGCCACCAACCAGCATCGATCTGTTCGATGTGTGTAATAATGTCATCCGGATCGAAACTTATTTCAGTATCATCAGCTGCTTGATAATCATAAAGAGCTTTTGCCCGTAATCCTTGAGAAACTGTTTCCAATTCTTCTTTTCTTTTTTCGGCCTCATCATCCTCTTCATCTGTGAAAAGTAAAAAAGAAAATTATTAAATGTTCATTAGATTGTTGTAAATATTTACTTTGTTCCTCTTCAATGTTTTCCAGTTGCCTTGGTTCAGCATAATAGCCATATTGCTGCTGCTGTTGTTGTTGTTGATCATCAACAGTTGGATTTGTGTGAAATGAGTCATCACTGGATGATTCATCCTCAACACCATCATTGCAATTCTGATTGGATTCGATAACTTTTTCTACCACATCATCCACTTCTTCATTTGGAACGGAGATTGGTTGTTTTTGTTGTTCTTTATTCGAATGTGATTCGGGTTGCTTTTGAAATAACATCGATTGTACATGATTCACATAGTTTGAAGCTGCCGATTTGGTCGATTGTGATTGACAATCGATCTGCTGCTGTTGTTGTGTTGTGGGTGTGGAAGAATTTTGTTCAAAAAGCACGTGCATTGCTTATACTGTTTTTAGAAATCAAAGATTTGGCTTCTTCCATTCTTTCTTTACGTAACAATTGACTTTGGTTGGTTTTAATTGGCGATTCTTGGTGGCCGGTTTGGCAATTATGTTGTAATTCTGTTTTCGGATCATATCGATTAGCCGTCTGTTTCATTTTTTCTTCTTTTAATCGTTGTTCTTCCTCTATTTTTTGCTGATGCCAGAATCGTTCCCGTTCTTTAAGTGAGATTTCTCTTTGAGCTACGGTTCGCTGGTAATTGGTGCCAACCGGTTTCAAATCATCACTATCATTGTTATCATGTCTATCATTGCCATTCGTAGTCAGATTGTGTGTGCCATTCGTTTGTTTATCGATCCTGATTCGTGATGCTAATTTGTTAACATGCTGCATCAATACTTCCGGTTCGACATCCTCTTCATGACGAGCGTTCAATACGATATTGGCATCTTTAAAGAAGCTACGAACATCGGCAAAATGATTCATACAGATGCCTTTACGTTGTAACGGTGCACATTCGCCTTGCTGTACAATGAACAAAAACAAATCAATAAACAATCATACAAGATCATTCGAATCGATTGATTACCCAATTGATGAGTAGATATCGTCTTAGATTCAATGAGTCATCCTTAACCTCACAGAATGCGTACAGGATTTTACTTTGGCTTAATTCATTCTGAAGCTCTTGAAGACCAGTATCGCCTTTAGCTAATTTGTTGAATAGTATAAACAATAAATAAATCAGTGAATCAATTGTTTTGTTGACATACCAACTAATGCCAAATCGTTGGACTGTTTGTCATATCCAAATATTGCCCTGCATGAATTCAAAAAAAAAACAAATGAATTTTAATCAACAATATGCATGATAACCGAGTCTATAACGTACCAATTGGTTGAACATTTGGCATCCAATACTTCTTTATAAGCTGAAACGATTTGATCATGATTCTTGTAGAAATTGATGGCCATATTGCCAATGTGGCCACAGAAATGATGATTATTTCTCCAAAAAGTGTGCAGCAATATTAAATTAAAGGAATAATATTATTATTGACAAACCAAAAAGAGCCAACGAGAAAGAGCAATAGTCAATGCTGCAGAGCTGATCCCACTCTCTTCTTGGTGAGCGCCAATGTTTCTAGCCAACAGACAGACGATGAGATATCTAACGAACTGAGAGTGAGCATAATGCCAGCAAACCAGTCATTGAAGATAGTTTGACTGTATGAAATAGAAATTGTGTCTGGATTGTATCTATAGAATCGCCGTGATTCACATTCGACCTCATAAATCCATCTCCATTCGCCCAAAGATTATCACACACAACTCACACGAGCCAACAACAAGATGATGCTAAAGAAAAGACCGATGGTCAAAAAAAAAATCAAACATGCTTATGAGGTGAATGAATCATACCCACCAATGAAAAAAAAACATCCATAATGATCAAAGTTCATTACGCCCAATGTGACGATCTTCATCATTGTCGTGAGCGTGTGCAAGAATTGTGAAAAATTCAAAATTAAAGTGCGCGCGCCTTTATCTGAATGGAAATGTTTTTTTTCCATCAATTGATTGATTCACCATTTCATATATATGATATCTAAACATCATGTGCCTGCCAAAAAAAAAAAAAAAGAAATGATCGTAGGGTGCGGCACCTCCCAATCAAACCTAACAGCCGGCTTTAATAGCGCCATATATCCATCCATATGGATTGTGTGTGTTTGTATGTTAGAATATGCCTCGTTGTTTTATTGATGGAAATGTTTTCTTGTCGTCGTGCATATGCGCCGTAAAACGTCAACAAACATGATCAGATTTGGATCTGGATCGAAAATGGTTTCATTATTGTTTATGAGTTCTTACACATTTATTTTTTGATGCAGAATTTTCTATAATTTGCAAATTTCTAATTATGACAATGATTTTACATGGTAATAATATTATATCGTAATGAATAACAATAACCAATTGATTATATCTTGATTTTTTATTTTCATCTAGACGGATATTTGGATTGTTGATATTGACGAAATCTCCATATAATAATTTCAATCAATAATATTGCAATTGAAATCGCTATGCCTAATATCCATGAATGTAAAATGGCTTCAAAATCCGATAGATCAAGTGCATAAAATTGACTAAATGATGGCGGTGATGATGTCGATATCATTGATGATGACGTTGACCATTTTCGAAATGTTCGCTGAAATCGTATGGCCTCTAGATATGATTGTCGATTTAATAATGGAGTGAAACGATAAATATCTTTAATCCATTTTTGATATAAACCTCTTTCGTGTGATAATAAAATTCTGTATTTTTTTTTTAGAAAAAATGACCAATTAATTTCATTGTAAATTTTTTTCCAAATAATTTTTTTTGAAACACTAACTGATAACTTATTGGCTTCAATAATGGTGAATGTTTAGGAAATGCAAATGCATTTATATCCATTTTCAATGATTCTGTACCGATCCAAACAGTTTTACGTGCATATGCTCTTTGTAGATAATATAATATAAGTTTAGTACTAAGAAAAATAAATTTCGAATCCGATTGAACAAGATCAAAACCAGAAACATCATTCAAAACTTCTACAGGTTTATTCCTATTTTTTACACATATAATATATTTTTCATTATAATTTTTTTATAATCAAGAATATCATATCATAATCGTAACATTGACTTACTTGATTACATGCTCATTGATCGTATAGAGAATATTATTTTCTGGTCGTGAATGTTTAATAATATTCATATTTTCATCCGATTTTCGTGTAACAAGAGTATGTGTTCCACTTCGAAAATATTCATTGATATCATCGACACTATCAATATGTTTTTCATAATGTGATGTATTCAGTTGTAAATAATATGCTGCCGAATATAATATCAAAGTGATCATCATTGAAATCATTGTAACAAGATATATTATACATATCGATGTCGGTTCTGGACAATCAACTTTAATTGCTATTGATGAAAATTAATTTTTTTTTTTTAATCTGATCATTTTTTCAAGAAAAAAATTCAAACCTCGATTCAAATAAATAGCACATAATTTCATTGATATGGGTAAATTCTCCTTCGATCGTGATCGATGATGATGATGATTCATTAGTAATAATGGACAAATTTTACAATAATAAAGATGAAGAAAAATCCAAATTAAAATATATGATATTAATATGGCTAGCCAATTTTGCCATGGAAATGATTGAAATAATAACCATTTTCTTGATGACTTTGAAGGAAATTGTGACAAAAATCCAATTTTATCAATTGTAATAAAAAAACTATAATCAACAGCTAAATTTCGTAGATATGTTTGAGAAATTCCACATATTCCCATATCGACTAAATTGTTTCGTATCAAAGCGATTGAACCGGTCCAAGAATCATTAACAAAAGTACCCCAATTCTGCTGTGAATCAACGAGTTGGTAACGAAAATTCCATCGTTGGGCCAAAATTTTGAGCAATCGTAAATCAAGTGATTGAGATAGCTTCATCTTCACGGTTACTTTACCATCCAGGCCTATTTGACGATTTTCGATTGCACAAATTGGAACTATCTGCATATATAGATTGAAAATATTAGAATAAAATTCATAATTCTATCATTTTTTTTTGAAAAAACTTACATCATTCACAGCAACTCTAATTATTGTTTGATTTAGATTACATTTTTGATATGAAATTTTCATTCGATTAAAATCATTTTCGTTCCGAGGATAATAAACATTGTTGAATATATGGCAGCCATCTAAAATTGGCCGAACGTGAATAACTTTTTGATGATTTTTATCATAATCATCATTCAGTATGTAATCACTTACGACGAATATACAACGAAATTTTTGATCAAATAATCGAAAACTATCAATTAGCCATTCGATTAATTGTTGCAATAATTTAGGATGAATTAATATGATCAATGGATAACAATCGATACATCGAACATAAACACGTTCCAATGACATGATTAGTTCGATAAATTCATGATGATTCAGGTCATTAGATTGATGTAATAAATCGAAAATACATAAAAAACCATAATATCCGATTAGTTTAGTTTGATTATTCAATTTAATCGATAAATCTTTCGAGTTTATGTTGGTGAAATGTTTAAATGGACAATTTATTTGATTTAAAAATTCATGAACTAAACTTTTTGGTTCCATCCATGAAGTTGTATTGGAAAATTGAAAATTTTCAATCAAATTCAGATGAAAATTTTTACCATCATGAATCGCTTGACAAGAATCGTGTAGATATCTGCCAAAACTTTTATCACCAATGAATTTTGGATTCGAAATTGTGAAACATGATAAATGATTGATGATAAAAATACTCACCAATAATTTAATTTTATGGTCAAACATTTTTCTTTCATTTAAGAATCTTCCTGTGTGTGTGTGTGTGTGGTGTGAATAGCGATATCAATAACAAACTAGAATACAAAACTTGCGACATATAAAAAAGAGATCATTCTTATGAATCATATGATCAGCATAGAATTTCATGAATAATTCAAGCTAAACAGTGTGACAGTGAGATTTATCAAGGAAATTTATTTATTATAACTAAAAATTATCGATCCGTCAATCTTATTATAGAATTCAAGGACAAATTTGATTTTCAAATAATTCTTTTAACTGTGATTTTCCGCTATTTTTTTTCGTTTTACATATTGATTTGACATCGGAATTGCTAATGAATTAATAATGAATAATAAATTCTTCGCTATAATTTAGCGATAATATAATTCATTATTTTTTCGATTGTCATTCGATATAAATGACAATAAAATGATTGGCCAGTTATTTCAATGATGAAAACAAATGTAGAAAATACAATGAAAAAAATCCAACTATTGAATAAGGCTTCGAAATCGATTAGTTGCATCATTTCCCATTCGTCATTAGTTCTAAAACGATTATTTGTTCTAATCGATTCATAATAGGCACTAGGATTGGCAATATTAATGGCTTGACTAACTTTCCATAGCCATCGATTAATTAATCCCATTTCTTGTATTGTCATTATTCTGAAAAAAAAGTGTCCAAAAACAAAACATTTATTTATCAATTAATAATTATAAGAATATTTAATGATATTTTTTTTTTTTGTCTTACTGTTCACTAAATGGCTTTAAAAGTGGTGAATTTTTTTGAAATGCATATGCTAATATATCGATGCCCAATAGTTCAGAACCAAGTAATAAACGTTCTTGTGCAAATGATTTTCGTAATAATTCCAATATTCGGCTATTACCAATGAGAATGTATCGAGGATTTTTTTGAATATAATCAATACCTTCCATATAATTACCAATATTAATGGCATTATTCCTGTCATTATTAATTATAAATCAGTAAAAATTTATCATAAAGTTTAGCTAGAGCCAAAAAAATTATTTAAAAAAAAATACCGTTTTAGATAATGGCTTATCCAATAAAATGGTCCGGTTTTCATATCCAATTGAAGAATCATGTTTCGTAAGTTACCATTTTTAACAAAAAGTGGACTATAAGTATTTGTACGTATAGCAATAATAAATTGATCGATTGTATCAATTTGTTTTTCCTGATTACTTAATTGTAAATATGAATATAATTGTGCTGAATATAATGTTGTCATTACAATCATCGATAGCATACAGCTAAGATATGTAATACGAATCCAAATTGGTTCCAAATGGTGTACTTTCATGGCTGAAAAAAAAATAGAAAAACAAATTCGAATAAATTAAAAATGATGATCTTTTGTGTGAATCATTGGTTTTTATACTTCGAGCAAGATAAATAGCATATAAACGTATAATAATCGGTGTGGTCAATAGTTCACCAATTTTATGGGCAGTATAATGTAGAAATAAATAAACCAATATGAATGAAGCAATAATCATCAACCATATTTGCCATGAAAATGGTTTCATTAAAAGCCATTGTTTTGATGTTTTTTTCGGATATTTTAGAATAAATCCTATACCATCCATCATGGAAAATTGATTGAAATCAACGACATTATTTCGTAAATATGTACGTGATATAGCACAAATACCGATGTCAGCATCACCATTAAGTAGATAAGCAATTGAACCTTTCCATGTATTATTACCATGACATGTTCCCCAATTTTGTTCAGCATATAATAGACGATAACGAAAATTCCATTTTCTTTGCAATAATTCCAATAGATGATAATCAACCGAATAGATTGGATTCAAGTTAAACAATTCAATTTCACTACCATTGTTATCACGTATATACGTTTTATCTATACGACACAATAGACTAACCTATTAATGTAATGAGAAAAAAAAATTTGTTAATAAATTATTTGTGAATTTCTTCGATTCATACATTATTAACCCATTAATGCCCAAATTTTTTTTTGAAAAAAAGTTATCAATTATAAAAATTTGATGGCTACAAGTAATAAATATGACATTTATTTATTTTTAAAATTTTTATATTTCGAGAAATTGAACTTTGAACTTCCATCCTATATATAGGATGATGGGCACACAGACAACAAAAATTGCATATATTGGATATATTGGATATTATTGTTATTTTATCAAATACAATTGATATATTCGGTTTTTCTCTTCGAAATCATTTTACAAATTAACAATACATCAATTTGTAGTGTATTTATTTTATAATTTACTATGATATTATTTAAAATCATTTAAGCAGAAACTTTTATTGTACAAGATCCATTGATACGGTGATTTTTTTTTTACAAACATGGCATGTCCATTGTTTGTGATCTTGTATCTTGATGATGAAATGATTCCCTGTATTTAATAATTCATCACCGAGGCTAAAATGTCTTGGTCGACCAAGATTTTTAATTTTGAAAATGAGTCCAATGATAAATAAATTTTCGAAATTGACCTTTTATATTCAAGAAATTTTTTTCTCTTGGGTCTACAATACAATAAAATGTATGAATTGGTGAATGACTGGTTAAATCAATCGAATTAGTGAATAGCAAAAAATACTACTTCCTCGATTTTATTGATAAATGGTAATTAGAAATATTTTACTAAACAAAATATTTCATATTACTCAAATAATCCTCAATCAACTTTGGCTGTTTGATGGTCATGTTTTTTGAGTTTGGTCCAATACACATTCAGTTTATTTTATCATGTTTATTCCTGGGAGCTATTCATGGTCCTCTTCTACACCTGACCCTGGATATACGTTTGGATTTTCTCTGTAAACCCCAGGCCTTCTTGAAGTATCTTGTGACCAAACCATCCCACATCAATACAATTAGCACTGTGGTCACCTTACTTCCATACATAGATTTCAGTTCGTTGGCCAGCAGTTCGTCAATTCTGTGTTCGGAATAATCCTCTTGTTCGAAATAACATATACTGTTTTATTATCTTTTCTACCTAAGAGAAACAGTTCATTTTTCTTATCAAAACTATAATCTAATTTTTCCCTTTCTTTGTCGATCTTCAATGGCCAGATTCAGAATAAAATGCGATTCTTATTGCTGGTGTGGAGTTTGAATAATTTGTTTCTCTCACTAATAAAAAGAATAGCACTCTAACAATTTGGCATAGAAATTCTTAGGGTTACCATACGTCTGGATTTAGTCCGGAAATATCCGGAATTTCTGTAATAATCTTGTATTGATTGTCTTGTCTTGTATTGATGGTGACCCTATGGTTGAGAAACACTGATAAATAGATTAACCAGATTTTTGTTTGGAAAAATATGCTAGTCCGACATAGAAAACAAGAGATACTACGATGTAATACATAGGTTTCAATAATAACAGAAGTTGATATTTTAGTACTTTGAATGCCCATGATCCTATATATAGGATCACCGGAAAATCATCATTGCGGTAATTAGATCTAATTTTAATTTGATAACTCCTAATTAAAAATGTTATTTGAAGATCATTTTACATTTTTCTAATATAAATTGTTATCACTTTCGGATTATAAAATGGTCTTACAACACTTTGAATTCTAGTCATTCAGAAAATCCGACTTTTCGACAATCAAGATCAAATTAACTGTACTTAGATAAAGATAATACATATGAGTTATATATCATTTTGAAGCTAAATAAACGTGAAATAAAACGTTTTTAATTTTATAAAAATTGGATGAATAGTTTTGAAATTATTCATCTTAAAGTAAATATCCTATATATAGGATGATGGGCATTAATGGGTTAACGACCATAGTCAACATTGTTTGATTAAGATTACATTTAGTATATGGTTTTTGCATTCGATTAAAATCATCGATGGTTGTCGGTTTGAATGTTTGATCTTGATATTGTAGACAACCATCCAGTATTGGTCTTATATGAATCACTCGAAAATGATTATGACCCATAATGGATACAAGTGTAGAACGAAATTTTCGATTCAATTGTTGAATAAAATTCTTATCCATTAATCTTGATAATTCGTCGATAGATTGTTGAAATAATATAATGAATGGAAAACAATTTGTACATTTGGGGAAAATTTTGTCCAATGATAAAAATAGATCATTGAATTGAAATTGATCAGTGAATATTTTTGGAATCATATCAATAATGAATAATAATCGATAATTAATAAACCTATTGATTTGTATTTCCATTTCAGCATTAATCATTTGTACATTTGAGCCATTGAAATATTCGAATGGACAATTTGTTTGTTCAAGAAAATTTCTTGTCCTCATGATTGATGTTATAGTTGAAGATGGTGATGATGATGATGATGTTCGAGAGGAATAATTGAAATTTTCCACCAAAATTATAATAATATTTTCATCATAATGAATTCGGCCACATAATTCTTCCATATAACTCCATAAGGAATTATTACCAAGATAAATCTTATCTTGTGTATGTATTGTTGATGATGATGAAGGACTTTTAATGGCCACAATAATAATCAAAATGGTGAACGCGATTATTAAATGTTTCATTTCTATAAGCAATCATATCATCAGTTCACAAAAATACGTTTTACGTTATAGCTATTGGTGTTGTAAAATGATCGAATTCCACAAACATGACTGCTGAATACAATCCGATTCCATTATATGAATATTGATTTCATAGATAAATCAATACGGTAAAAAAAATTTTACATTTTATGATAAATGGTGATGATGGGGGAAAAATTGATAGATTCAGTATTCGAATCGAAAAAAATATTTGCCACATTCTCATTTACGTCAATCACCCAATAGCATATATAATGAATCAATTAACTATCAATCACATATATTAATGATTGTTGTTAATTTCATTTTTTTATTGTTGGTTGATTGATATTGTTTCTTCGATTTGACTATAAATTTCATAACAATCTCTCCCAATAATATAATGAATGAATAAGATAATCCAATCGACCAGGTGATAAATATAGAACCAAGGTCATAGATTTTTAAACCATCGGTTGTTAATGTTGTTTTTATTGCTGCTGTTCCAATGGATGAAATGGAATATTCATCAACATTGGCCGTTTCAGAGAATAAAATCAATTTGTTTAGCCAATATTGCGTAAGACCATAATGGCTACATGTTCTTATTCTAATCATTAAAATGAAATGAACAGAATAAAAATCAAAAAAACGATTAAATCAAATGAAACTAATTACTTACATATAATTAAATGAATCAAAAAATGGTGATCGTCTTCTGAATGCAATAGCAAGATAATCAGTTGCCAATATATCATTACTAATAAGCATTGCTTTTTGTGCATATGTTTTTATAAGGAATTTAAATGATGCTTTAGATTCAATTAATATGAATCGAGAATCATTAGCAATTCTATCGAAACCTTCTTCCAGTTGCATAACATTATAGCGTTCATTTTCTTCTAAATTTCTGCTTATCATCTTAGAACCATCACTATCAATGATTTTAAAATCCATTACAACGCTCCCATCAAGTGTGAAAAAATGATGACTATTCATTTGAGTTACTCTGATCAGATCATCTTTAGTCAATAATGGATCATCATATTGTACTAGTGCAAGTAACGTGTAATATTCAGTTGAATATGAAATGGCTAATACCATATTGCATAATATCCAGCCGATAAGAATTAAACGTTGTTTCCATGATGTTAACATCAGAACATGAGCCTCTATATTATAGAAAAGATGGCGAAATTAAAATTAACAAATTCAGCAATAAATTATTTTAACGTTTTTTAAAACTTACGTTGATTAACCATGATAGCCAATAGTTGTTTCGACAAAATTGATCGATATCGTACAGAAACATCATCATCATTGTCATGAATTTCCCATTTTGGAATTAAATAACATATTAACGAAACCAATATAAACGAAATAAATATTATGAACCAAAGTAAACGAGAAAATGGTTCAATAACTAGCCAAGATCTTGATCGAAGTTCTGGAATACGTGATATAAATGCAATTTCATCAACCATTGTTATATCACTATAATCGATGACCAATGATCGATCATATGTGATGGAGAAACCACCAATCGCTATATCAGCAGACTATATTTTGAAACAAAAATAAGAATTCAAATTATTTGAATGAAAACCCAGTGATCACAAACCCCATTAATCAGATGGCTAACAGATCCAGTCCAAACACCATTTTCATGTTTACCCCAATTCTGAAAACCATCGATTAATCGATAACGAGAATTTATTTTCATCATTAAAATTTCAATAAGATTTTTTTCAGTAGATGGACCAAATTTAATATCAGTTTCACGATCAAGTATATCGCTGTATGGATTAAACTTGAAAAATTTAAATAATTAATTAATGGGGTGGTGAATGAAAATTAAAATCATACAATCATTGCTTACATCATTAATAACAATATTTATAATGGTTTGATTGAGATCACATTGTAATGGTGATATACGTAGTTGATCGAAATCTTGTTGTGATTTTGGCCAATAAATTTCATTCAATTCAAGACAACCTTTAATTACTGGTCTTAGATGTAATACTTTTTCTGAATCGGCAAATCTAGATACAATCGTACAGCTAAATCGTTGATTTAGCCACAAAATTGCTTCAGATAACCAATTATATAATGAATGAATATCATAATGAAATAGAAAAATGATTGGAACACAATTTGCACAATTAAGATAAAGGTTTTGAGACAATTCAAACAATTCACGAATGTTTAGATGTATTTGTGTTGGCGATAATTGAAATGAATTGATCAGAATCAATACATTACGATAACGATATTTTGGTTCACTAATTATAATTGATTGGGCCAATTCTAATGAATCAAAATAATCATATGGACAATTTTTATTAATGAAAAAATTTCTTAAATTTAAAAATTCACTGTTATTATTATCGATGTCAATTGAATGATTGTGATTATCTACAAGAACAATATACAATTTTTTTGTTTCGAAATTTCTACACATATTAGTCAGATAAGATTCGATGTTTTGATCACCATAGAAACGATTAAATTCGGTTGATGATAAAATACAATCAACGGCAATTATCATCATGAATAATGATGACGATGATAATAGAATTGATAGAATCATTAATAATAATTGTTTATTCATTTTTCGAATGATCATCATCAAACAAAATATATAATGGGTGAAAAAATATTGGATCATTCGTTTCAATATCACTGAATATGGGAAAACAGTAAATAGTACACATTGGAGTGAAACACAAGATTAACATTAAAAGGTTCAACGAAAATGATGAAAAAAACTGGAATAGCAAAACAAGATATATGATGGAAAAACTGGGAAAAGAATTTTTTTTGTTTCAAGCAATTAATCGGAATCTAAAGCAAATGAGAAACGAGAAAATAAATAACTTTGACAGTTATTGAAACTGGATATTGATTAAATCTATTGATTGATTATGAACTATAGTTACAAAAAAAACGAAAGAACATTTGCATTTTCTTTTATTTTTTTTTTCGTACATTTCATTTGTAATATATTACGATATATTGTGAAACAAACAAAAATAATTAGTTCAAACATTTTTGATGAAAATTTATTTTTCAATTGTTTGTTGCCAAAGAGTTTGCATTGTTGTTCATCACTTTGTTTTTTTTGGGGAATTTCATTTGATGATTTTTTTTCATTTTCATTTTCATTTTTTTCTTTTTTGTTAAATAAATGATTTTGGCAATAATTTCATTCAATAATATTATTGTTGAACTACTTAATCCTATTGACCATATTATTAATATGGATTTAATATCATTGATATCAAGACCATCGGTATCGATAGTTGTTTTTGGTGCGCCCATCATCGATGTAGAATATTCTGCAGGATTAGCCGTTTTTGTTTTTTTTATAACTTCATCTATCCAATGTTGAATGAAACCGTTTTGAGTGAATATTTTTATTCTGATTTTTTAAAATGTGAATAAATGAATTACGAAAAAAAATGAATCGGAGAATGGTAAAGAATTAAAATCGAAATAAAAAAAAACATACAAACGATTAAATGATGGATATAATGGTGAATGTTTCGAGAAACCAATGGCTAAAAAATCCATTGCCATATTATCTTCGCTCATTAGCATCGCTTTTTGTGCATAATTTTTAATCAAATATTTGAATGCCGTTTTTGATTCAATCAATACATAACGTGAATTTTGTTCCAATTTATCGAATCCACTTTCTAATTTTGGAACATTTTGTTTAGAATTTTTTTGGATATTTTGGCCAATCACATAGAAAATATCACTATCGTTAACACCATATTCTAATACAATACTTTGTTCAAGTGTAATCGTATCATGTGTACCGATCTCGATAGCATCAATCAAATCGAAATTCGTTCTCAATGGTCGATCATATTGATGTAGTGCAAGAAATCGATAGAATTGTGTTGAATAAAGAATACTTAATACCATATTGCCAAATATCCAACAAATAAATATCAAACGATTTTTATTCATTCGTGTACGTAAAACATGAGCTTCTATTGTGATATAAGATTTTAGAATTTTCTTTATTCCTCCGAATGAATTCGACAAACAAACGAAATAATTTTAAAAAAAACTTACGTTGATTGACAACTATAGCAAATAATTTTGACCAAATTAAACGAAATGGTAGATTTTCACCCGAGGCACGAAATATATGATTAGAAATTATATAAAGAATTATGGAAATAATTAAAAATGAAATGATTATCATAAACCATACTGTCCATGTGAATGGTTCAATTACAATCCAATCTCTTGTCATTAATTTCGGTATTCTTGATATGAATCCTACTTCTTCGATTATATAAATATCACTATATTCAATGAATCGTATACGTTCATGTAGAACAGATATGGAACCCATGGCTAGATCACTAGTCTAAATGATCAAAAAAAAAAGAGAAAAAAATTCACTGTTATTTCAGTGTCAAATTTCAAATGATTTTTATTTTTCTTTCACCTCATTAATAAGATATGCAACCGATCCAGTCCATGTACCATTCACATATTTACCCCAATTCTGTTTTGCATCAATTAACTTTGGGTGAAAATTTAGTTTCGATGACAATGTATCAATAATATATTTTTCAACCGATGTTGTCATCTGTAATTCCGTACCATTTTCAATCATATCACAGAATGGTGTAAACTTGGATGATTAAAAAAAAGGAAAAAAAAGAGGAATAAATAATAATTATCAATTATCAAAACAATTATCCTACATTATTAAGAACAATTCGTATGTCGGTTTGATTTAGATCACATTTCAATGACGATGTGCGTAAACGACGAAAATCATTCATTGTTTTTGGCCATAATAAACCATTATATTGATGGCAACCATCAATCTTTGGCCGTAAATGTATAACATTCATTGTATCCGGATATGATACTAATGTACAACTAAATCTTTGATCCATTTGTTTGAAAAATTCACTGAACCATTTATAGAAATAATTGAATAAATAATCATAACGAAATAATAGAATGATTGGAACACAGTGAACACATTTAACATAGATATTTTGTATAATTTGCAAAAATTGTTGAATATTTGAATGAAATTCATTCAAAAATGAAAGATCAACAATTATTAGTACATTACGATAAAGGTATTTTAGATTTAAAGATATTTGTTGATATGCTGATTCTAAATCATTGAAATGATCAATTGGACAATTGTTATGGATGAAAAAACCATACAATGTTTGTTGTTTTTCATCAAATGTTTTTTGATTTTGATAATTGATGATTGTTGAATTCTCATTTGTAATTATAACGATATAAAACCTTTCGTTTTCTAAATTATTGCATAGATTTATCAGATATGACCATAGATTTTGTTCACCACCACCATAGAATGGATGAAAACCTAATGATGTTATTACCGATGTTACGAGTGTTGAATGTTGAATGAAAATTAATATGGCAAAAATGATATAATAATTGAAAATTATTCTCAACAAGAACATTCTGTTACATTCTGTAATGATTAGATGATGATGATGATGATGATGATGGTGGTGAATGAATAAATCGAATAAAAATGAAATGAAAAAAATGTTTTGGGTATTGATAAGTAGAAATGTACTGATGGTAATTTAATAATAACACAAACGGACACAAATGATGAAATAATTGAAGAATCGAGATTTTTTTTGTTGTTGTTGTTGTTGCCAATAATTAGCTTATGTTATGCAATAGATAACTATTAAAAACGAATAGAGTATTCACACACAATCTTCCAGAATCCTGGAATCTATGACCTTTGAAAAAAAGAGATAAATATGAAATAAAAGAAAGAAACAAAAATCCTATAGAAGTATATATACCCAATGGGTATAATTAATGGAATAAAAACGTTATTCTTATTATTATATTAAAAAAAAAATAAGAATAACCTTATTGAACCATGAGAATTGTGGTTGTTGTTGTTGTTCAAACATGTCTTACTTAAAGTTGTCCCACATTCTTTTTAATTTGATTCGATTCATGAGATTCATCAACTTAAATCAAAAAAAAAGAAGATCAATTGAGAAAAAAAATCAATTCTTCAATTGTCATACTTGAGTGCAAAAACGAAACGAAGAAAAAACACAAGTGCAATACGAAAAAAATAAAATAATTATATGGCAATCCATAATGATTGGTATATTTTGACATTTTCTTTTCTCTTTCTATCTATTGTTCCGGTTTGCCAGAAATTTCATCATCATCATCATCATCATCATCATAAATGTTTGATTGCATGGAGAGAAAGAATGAAAAATAAAAATCGAAAATTGGTTTCATTCTTTCTGGTTGCTTAGCCAATCCGTTCGGAATCGATGATGAAGTGATGAAAAAAATGACACTAGATGGCAGTTCATGGCTACAATTATATCGAACTGGTGTAATTTGAATTAAAAATTCCAACAAAAAAACAAAAACTAACAACTTTTAAAAAATTCAACGAGAGAAAAACCGAACCATCCAAAATGATGGATGAATTTGGTTCATATTCGTATTTGATTTTCAAATACGAAACAAAAAAAATTGATCGACAAGAACACAGACTATTGTCTATGGCATGTGATTTCGTTGTTTATATAAATCATCATCATCATCATCCAAGTTATAATTTGTAATGTATTTCATTTTCACCAAATAATTCATCAATCATCAACAATTGCAATGATTTGATGCATTTACTAATAGTGTTATTAGCTTGTTTTTTTTTTGGTGTTTGTGGTTTTTCTTAATATTCATCAATTTTGAAATGAATTTCAGATGAATTTTTTTTTGTTTGTTTTTTTTTCAATTTTTTTTCGAGCCATTCTTTAAACGGTTCATTTAATTTAAATTCCACATAAAGAGAACAATCATATATAACATATACAGGCTGTTTAATACAGCTTTTGAACTAATTTCCTTTTTTTTAAAATAAACGACGAACAACCAACAACAACAACACATCCGAGTACATAGGAACCTAAAAATTGGATATTTCATCATTATCAACAGTAATCAATTATAAAACCAAAACCAGTCAATTATAAATGATACCCAAAAAACGACGACGACGAGGACAACATAAAAAAATTACATTTTTTTCATGTTTTTATTACAACATATCACACATTGACAGGTGACTGACATAGGTTAAGGTTTTGTATATCGAACATAGCTCATTGGTAATATGTGCTGTGATAATGTCGAAAAAAAAAACAAAACAACCAAATCATAGATGACTATTGATTTTGTTGTTGTTGTTGTTGTTCTCATTCAAAATTAAGGTTATATGATTAGATGTACAATATAATTGTCGGCGAATGTTTTTCGTTGTTGTTGTTGTTGTTGTTGTTTTGCTTTTCTGATCTGTTGTAATACATAGGTGCGTGTGAAAAAAAAAATTTTCCATTCATCAAACACGTACCATATTCATCAAAAAGAATAAATAAACATTCAGTTCATTAAGGGGAAAAAGTAAAGATGACAAAAAAAAAAAATAAATAAATAAAAGAGATTGACAGAAAAAATCAAACAAACAAATAATGATCAATCATTAGAAAATACTTAGATAAACAAGGATATTTATGTGATAAATAAATTGTGATTAGATAATCAATCAATGATCGATTGTGAAAGATGAAAAAAAAATTGAAATGAAATTATTCCCTTCATGTTTTTTTTCCGATTCAAAATTCTTGTTGTTGTTGTTGTTGTTGTTGTTGTTGTTTTGATTGTTTTGATAAGTTAACAAAAGAATTTTGTGTTGAATCGCTCTTACAATAAATAAAATCAATCAATCAATCAATCAATCGAATAAGTAATAAACAGATAGCCCCTATAGACAAACAAACGAGAAGAAAAAAAAACCAATTTGAATATTATTTTCGGCCATCATTATATATCAGCTTTGTTATCGTTATTATTTTTTTTGTTTTGTTTTGTTTTGTTTGAATGTGCCCAAGATTTTTTTTTCTTGTTCAAAAACCAGAAAACCAGAAATGTGATTTAAGAAAAAAAACACACAAACCAAAATGAGAAAACAAATATATCCATTCTATTCTATTAATAGTCTTCTGTAATGAAATGAAATGAAATGAAAATTCCGATCAAAAAAACAACACAACAGTTGGATTATCAAGTGTTTGATATATGATTTGAAGATGACGACCAACCAAAAAAAAGATCTGAATCTGGTACATGTTATTCTTTTTCTGTCCGAAATAATTCAATTAAATTCATCGGAAAAAAACAAGTTTTTCTTTTTGTACAAAATTCAATTTGTTTTTTACTGTTTTTTACAATTCAATTATATTTCTATCTTTTTTTTATGGTGAGATTATTTTTTTTTTATTTATTTAATTACCAAAACCAAAAAAAAAAAAAAAAAAAACAACCAAAATCATGATATATGGCCCATAATAAATGAGCGAGAGAGAGTGATTCAAAATCTATTTTTTTTTTCAATGCCATTCCCATCATTTTGATGATAATGTCAATTGGGGGTGAATAATGATTTTGAAAATAAATAAATCAATCATCCATCCATCCATCAAAAGTTGGTCTACTTTTAATATTTTTTTTTGCCGATTGTGTATTTCAAACGATATGAGTGTCTGTGTGTGTCTATTTTAATCGTTGATTTGTTGAAATCTGTAAAAAAAAAACAAATCAAACAAGGACCAACAACCAGTTGTGTATGGATTAGAAAATTGATGACAATCGATTTTTTTTCCTCTGTCGACGGACATTGAAATAATATAAATGATTAAAAATGAATGCACGTGATGTCTGTGGTTTTTTTTTCTTTGAAGTTTTATCATACATAATGGATGTGATGTGATTTGAAATTCATCGAACAAAATATGTACATATTATATTAGAAAACCGGAATTTTCCGCATCACAAAATTCAAGTAGAAAAAGAAAGAACAAAAAAAAAACGGTCAAGTTTTTTTTCCATTCCAGATTATCAAATGTACCATTGAATCTCGTGTACTTAGCCCCAATTCCAATACATGCATTTTGTTTTTTTTTCTATTATCACATGAATATGAAATACAGTTTCAATTTGAATCATGAAAAATGAAATCAATAATAATAAAGATAATGGTTTTTTTTGAAAAAGGTGTCATCATTCATATATATAAATAAAAAAAAGGGTTGACACTATATTTGTGTAACTTTCACAAAAAAAAATTTGATTTTCTACTTTTTTTTATGGTGTAGTTGTAATATCACAAGATTAGTAGTGGTAGCAGCAGTGGTGGTGGTGGTAATTGTTTGTTTGTAGACTTTGAATCGAATCGAAATAAATCAAAAGTAAAAAAAAAATAGAAAAAAAACTTTGAACTCATCTCATCATCATCATCAGCATTTATATGTGGATAAAAATTGATGTGATCATATTAATAGAAAACATTGGCTACACCATTATCGCCATCAATCGAAGAAATTGATCAAAAAAAAAATTTTCGAATATATAAAGAAAAAAAAAGAAATGATGAAAATCTGATAATGGTGAATACTGATGATCAATTTCTTGATATAAATTGATTAACTTATTATGTCATTTTCATGATTATTATCATTAACAATTATATAATATAATCGATTTACAAACTTTGAAAATTGGGTATTATTTTTTTTTGCTAATCTATTTTTTTTTATAAAATTCTATTATTGATATATTGATTTCAATTTAAAAAAAAATGATCAGCATCAGCTATCAATTAACAATCAATAACAACAGAAAAGACCGTTTGATAAATTAATCGATCGATCGAATTCTTCATATCATTTTCTATTTGATTTTTTTTTGTTTCATTTTAAATCAAACTAAGATTTTAGACATTGGATCACCCTCTTTTTTCCCTTTTTAAATATATGTATTTTTTTTTGCGAACGACCAAATCAAATAAACAACAAAGAACCATTAAATAGAAAAAGAAATCAAT